TCTCTCTCTCTCTCTTCTCTCTCTTTCTCCCTCTCTCTTCTCTCTCTGTCTCTCTGTCTCTCGTCCTCCCTCCTTCCCTCCCTCCATCCATCCATCCATCCATCCATCCATCCCCTCCCTCCCTCCCTCCCCCTCCCTCTCCCTGCCCCTCTCCCTCTCTTTCATCGTCGTCGTCGTCATCATCTTCATCATCCGATCATCATCATCGTCGTCGTTGTTGTTGTTGTCGTCGTCGTCGTCCTCGTCGTCGTGGAGACTGCAGGGCGCCGTGTCTCGCCCGGGCAGCAGACTGGGCTAGCCTGAGTCAGTGAGACGTGTGACAGTGCTACGGTGTGCGGCCCAAGAACTGAACCTTTGTTCAAAAATGAAATGTGCCAATTCATTGTCATAAGCAGCTCAGTGTGAGAATTAAACAGGTGTCCAGTGTCCAATACTTGAATTAGTACAAATTTTACACGGCCACTGAACGTCGGATGAAAAAACTGACTCGTGTGAACTTGCCATATTCTGAGCATATTTCAAGCACATTTCATGAACATTTCCAAGACATTTCGTCACAAAGGACCCCTTTCGAGAACAGCAACAGGCGGACATAGGAACTTTCAATGGAATCATGCGAGCGGACATCGGCAGCCTACTAAAACGTGCCACCGTCAGAACAGTACATCATCATGACTCCGCCGGCCACGAGAAGATCTTAAGTCAGCGGTCGGCGCGGCGTACGATCGGGAGCCTCGGATAGCGGTGGCAACTTGCCAGTTGGCTTCACAGTTTCAAACATTCCTGAGCAGTTCAAGGAGGCGTGCCGCGTTGAAGCTGGAGAGAAAGTTCGATCAAACAGTAAGCTCTGATAATTGATTACTCAACTGTTCACTTAAATTCTTGAGGAGAAGCGCTACCATAATAGTACAGAGAATGAGAAGGAGGGTTCCAGAAGTCGTCTACCAGCTGCACAGGAAGTTACGCGATCATTCTCGTCACCTGCAAGTCTAATGTCTCAAGTGACCACTGTCTCACCTTGCTGTCATGGTGACCGTACTTGCGCGAACATTGCTGCTTCAAGTACGACGCGTTGTCCTTAGCCATGCGGACATTCAAAAGTGACATCGCGGATGTGCTTGCAAACTGTTGGGGACTTGGATGAGAGAGAAAATAAACGTTCACTCCTGAATTGGTCACCGTCCCCAGCGTCTTGAATCTACCCTTAATCTTCAAATCGTATTCCTGATCTTCTCTTGAGATCTTTGAACCATTCCTCCTTCCCGCTCCAGGACACAACAACCATCCTGTCTCACTCCTTTCTTGGCCTCCAATTCTGCAATCAATTCCTCCATCCATCAACACTATCAGCAAATCTTCAACCCATCTCCCTCCCAGCCGCCCTCCCAGGCCCCATCTCCTCCCCGTCCTCCGCTTCCTTCCTCCTTGTCCTTCTGGTTCGACTTATCACTCTCTCTCCCATTCTTTCAATCTCGCTGACTCACCTTTTTGTCCCAAGCGAACCCTGCCATTAGCGAAGTGTTGTCAGTTACGTTAATGTAACGGAAAAAAGCGATGAGTGTACTACTGGGCCCGCCGTGGCCCGCCGCAGTAGCGACGGGCCCGGTCCGACCGTCGGTCAAGTTGAGCCCGGCCCGGCCCCGGCTGGCCGGCCCCTGGGTTTGACCGTTTACTCAAAGTTAATGCTGGGTCGGGCGCGCCGGGGCCGGGCGGAGGCGGGCTCAGAGGACGGGGAACTTGAAGCGCTAACCTGGGGAAAGCGCTAACCTGGTCCTGGCAAGTTAACTTCTAGGGTACGGGTCTTATCCTCTGGAAGTTAACGGTCGAAGAGGGTGGGGGGGTAGGGTGGCAGAATGTAAACTTCGAGATACGACTTAAATACATTTGGTGAGGCCCCCTCTCCCTGGCCCCGCGACGTCGCACGTCCCTGCTCGAGGCGCCACTGGGACCCTGTGACTTGAAGGCTTGCGGCATGGTTCTCTTCCTTCTCAAGCTCACGAGCCTTCTTCTGGCACTCTCGCTGCCTTCTTGCCTTGCAAAATCAAGTGACACGAATGATGAGTTTAGCGTCGGGAGGCTTCCCGGTCGTCCATGGCACATATCGAGCATGGGCGACATTGCCCTGAAGAAGGTTGTCTTCGACCGCAAGCTGAAGGGATCCAGTCACTGGCCTCCAGCCTACGACAGTTTGTACGTGGTGCGAGTACCCAACCCTGAAGCAACGGTCTCTGCCTTGCAGTCAATCGCGGCGGGCAAGTACATGCACTACTACCCTCACGACACCTACCTCATGTCGCTCGACGTTGAGCAGGCGGAGTCTGTTGCCTCCCTCCGAGGTGTGGAGGGCGTGTTCCACATGCCGGCTGAGGCAAAGACTGCCTCTAGGGCAGCACAGGTTAGAACAAAGAGGACGACTGCGACGGTGACGTTGGACGTGCAAGTGGCGGTGACTGAGCAAACGCAAGGCTTATTCCACTCCGTGCTGGCTTCCTGGAAGCAGCATCTTGTCAAGCTTGCGTCTGGTTCCTCTCAGCCTCTCCTCCGATGGGCCAGCGTGCAAAAGGTTGTGGTGGTTGTGGATCTCGCGAAGGAGGAGGCAGTTTGGGCCTGGCTTGCCAAACAGCCGCTCGTGGTGAGCATCGAGGAGCGGCCAATCTTCATCGCTAGCAACAAGTATGCGGTAAGCCCAGACCTTCCTCCCCTGCTCTGAATGACTTCTCAATCCAGTCCAAGGCTGTGCAGTCAGAGGATGGAACGCAAAACAAGCTCTGGAGCAAGGGGCTTCGCGGCTCTGGCGAGATTATTGGGTGTGCGGATACTGGGGTGGACTATGACAGCTGTTTCTTCCGGGATTCCACGGAGCAGGTCAAGACTTGCCAGGGCCCGGGAGCTCTTGAGAACTGCGTGAACATGAACCATAGAAAGATCGTGTCCTACCGCTTCTTCACCAACAGCTCCACCGACGTGTCCGACAAAGTAGGTGGCCATGGTACTCACGTGGCTGGCTCGATCCTTGGAAACTCCCTCTCGAACTCAACTGGCCCCTACAATGGTGCAGCACCAGATGCAAAGCTAAGCTTCGACGACGTCTCCAACGACATCTCCGAAGCTTTTTTTTTGCCTGACGACCTCAATACGCAACTATTCCCTCACTCGTATGCGTTGGGAGCTAAACTGCATTCCGACTCCTGGGGCTCTGATACCCCTCAGTACACGAGTAGCTCCAAGGAGATGGATCAGTTCATGTTCGACCACGACGACTTCCTCATCCTCGTCGCTGCGGGCAATACCGGGCCAGGAGCAGGAACCATCGGCTCACCCGCCACCGGCAAGAACATCCTTGCTGTGGGCGCAGGAGGCAACACGCTTGCTGCCTACGTGGAGTTGAATGGCGCCCAAGCGGAGTATGAAGATGACTACATCCCAGGAACAAGTCGAGACAGGGCGAGAACATACCTCGCCAACTTCTCGTCCCGTGGGCCAACGCCAGACAGACGCTTCAAGCCAGACATCGTGTGTCCGGGTGACAGCATCCTGTCGGCCAGATCCGACGGCAACCTCTCCTCTTTCCAGTGCTCCATCATGGTCATGAGCGGTACCTCCATGGCCACTCCGATATGTGCAGGCGCGGCAGCCCTCGTGCGCCAGTACTTCCGTGAGGGTTTCCTCTCCTCGGGAGTTCGCAACACCTCCAATGGCATCGCGCCCTCCGCATCCTTGATCAAGGCCGTGATGATCCATGCGGGCCAGCCCATGTGGTTCCTGGAGGAGTCGACGTGGAAGTTCCCTGCGTCACTCCCTCACTTCTCGCAAGGCTTCGGACGGGTGGTTCTCGACTCGGTCCTCTACCTGGGCCCTGAGACTCCCTTCAAGCTCAAAGTGTGGGACCGCGAGGTTGTGCAGAACCAGCGCGTCAGACACTTCTGCTTCCTCGCTGCCAGTCAGTCGTCTTACTCCCGCTTTCGCGCCACCCTCGTGTGGCCAGACCCTCCTGCTCCTGTCTGGAGCAAGCTCACGCTGATGCACAACCTCAACCTCATCGTGCAGGACCCCAGCAGAGCGCTCTTCTTCGGCAACAACCTCACTGACGGCAGCAAAGACGAAGTAAACAATTGCGAGCAAGTGACGATCGCCAACGCTAGAGGCGGCATTTACAGGGTGATGGTGGAGGGCTACGACATCCAAGGAGGCTCACAAAATTTCTCGCTCGTCGTCACGGGGGACGGGGAGGAGGTGGAGTGTCCGGTGCAGGCCTGCCCGGGCAACTGCTCCTCTCATGGTGCTTGCAAGCTAGGCGTCTGCTCCTGCTTCATAGGCTTCCAGGGGGAGAACTGCAGCCTCCCCGCCCCTCCCCTCGTCAATTCGTCCATCTGTCACGCCATCGCCTTCGACTCCAGCAGCCCGTACTCTGGCAGTACATTTCCTGCTGCTGTTCTCCGCCCGACCCCTGTGGTCATCCAGTTCTCATCAGACGCTGACGTCTCAGGCAAAGGCTTCCTTGCCATGTTCGGGGACCCCTCGTCCCTCCCTGCCAACGAGGGGATCAACAACCAGGCGGTCTCTCTGACGATACCTGAGGGAATTGTGACGAACAGGGAGGGCACCTATCAGAACAACTTGAACAAGGTCTGGATCCTTGCGCCTCCTCTTGCTCAGCGTGTCTACCTTAAGTTCCTCGAGCTCAACGTGGAGAAAGATGTTGTCTTCATATTCGTGTACGAGTGTACGACAGCTGATTGCACCTCATTCGTACAGTTACCTGGAAGCCCCTTCACAGGCACTGCCATTCCCGACCTCCTCGTCTCCTCCACTGGTTTCATGCAGATAACGTTTGTGTCCGACAGTGGTACAACATTCTCGGGCTTCAAAGCTGTCTTCACCTCTCACCTCCATGACTGCTCCAGCAGCGGGCTAGTGCAGGCAAACTTTGGCCTCTTCTCCGACGGCATCGGAACGTACAGCTCCAACATGCGCTGCGGCATCGTCATCAAGCCTGCAACCGCCTCAAGCATGCTCGTTCGGTTCCTTGAGATGAACATGGAAAAAGTCTTCGATCGCCTGTACGTGGGACAGTGTCTTCAACTTCCTCAGACAACTGAAGCAAGTCCTGCTCCCACGACGACTCCAGCTCCGACTCAAGCTTCTGTGACTTCCCCTCCACAGAGTTCACCTGCTGCTACCAGCGGAGCTCCAACAACGACTCCCAGCTTGGTGACTTGCTGCATCGTTGGGCTCCTACTCCTCACTGGTGTCGCCGCACCCCGATAGACCTCTACCGCCCAAGAGGCTCAGCCCCTCACTCCTCGTCGCGGGCAACATGTCAATGATAGACCTAGCCCATGTAAAAGTTACTGAGAGAGCTTGCTTGGTTTCTTTCAACATCTTCCATTTCAATCCTTGAGGGGGAGGGGAGGGGGAAAGAGAGCGAGAGAGAGCGAAGATATGGAAGTTGTTCCTTCTGCGAGTAAAACTCCCAGCACTTCAAGCAGCTGACGCTGGAGGCGCTCCTGTCTGGTGCGAGGCGCATGATTCCCTTGCGGGCGCAGGTGCTCCTCGAGCCAGAGGACAGCTCCTCCTCGGACTTTGTCGAGTCGCCCGAGTAGTCTTCGCCACACTGTGACGTCGGATGCCTCCGGAGAGCTCGACGCCACTGGGATGCTCACGGCTGGTCCGAGCTCGCCTGCTTGCTCTCAACCGACGGGGTCCTTGGCTTAGCTGCGGCAGCATAATCGCCGTCACTGGCAGTCTCGGTCTCGGCTGCTGTGTAGGGTAAGGGCTAGCGTCTGGTGCTTGTTTGTGCCGGTGTACTTGTTGCCTGGCCCTCCCTACTTGTCTACGCTTCTTCACGCGAGGGCTCAGAGCAGAGTGAGAGAGAAATTTACTCGCATAAGTTAAACTTTCTCAAGCACGTAAGGTATCAGGGACAAGCTTATCAAAGCTTCTCAGGGTACTCCCAGTGGGCATGAAATGAAGGGACCCCTCACAGCTGAATTATCATGAGTTTCATCACTCACATTCATCTAGTCTTACGGTCAGGATTCATGCACGCATAGATGACTGTAGAGAATCAGACGGTTGTTGATCATGAATCACTACATCCATCATCGAGCTCTCCGGAGGCATCCGACGTCACATCACTCGCAGAAGGTAAAATGCAGACGCCTCTCCAGGCTCCGCGACGGTCATCCTGAGCTCCACTTCTGATGCTTCCGTCGTCGGTGTCCGAGACTTCCGGCGAAGACTCCTCGGGCGACTCGACGAGGAGCTGTCCTCTGGCTCGAGGAGTGCCTACGCGCGAAAGGGAGTCATGCGCCTCGCACTAGACAGGAGCGCCTCCAGCGTAAGGCGCTGATAGGAGCAGAAGAATATCCAGAAGTTGACTCGCGGAAGATGAAAAGCCTCAAGCTTTCTTCTACTTGCGGCACTTGTTTTACCTTATGCTACCTCCTGCTTGCCTACGTGGCTTCCCGCGTGGGCTGGCAGTGCAGTTGTTTGGTACCCGCTTTTGTCGCTGTGCGCTCTGTGCCAAAAGGTCTTGCTTGTTGCTGCCTTGTTCTAAATTTAGCAGCACAGACCACCTCAGCCACCGCAACAACAGCGACCACAACCAAGAGGGCCGAGGCAGCAGCAGCCCGCCCCTTCGTCTCAGGAGTCTGAGCCTGTTGCTCCGCCGCGACTTCTCCTGTCTCTCACCTCTGCTGAAGCACAAGAGAAGGTCCCTGCTGGTGCGTCGCCTGCCTTTGGAAGTGCTTCCGAGGCTCATCTCACTCAGCAAGCGCTTGCAGTACTGCAGGTGGATTTGACTGACATCCTCGACACCACTAGCCTGATCCAGGCGATCAAGCGCTACAGCTCCTTTGCGGGGACCGATGACCAAGGGTTGAGGATGCGGCAACACCTGTCACCCCTCTCTGGTCATCCTGCAGCTTTGAAGCTCTACTGCAAACATATCTTCCAAGGGGCCTTCTTGGCCGGATGCCGGATCTTCTGATTCCTGCCCTGTCAGCCATTCGTCGAGGAGGCAGATTTATTCCCCTCTCCAAGGGAGCTGATAAACCTGGTCTCCGGCCAATTGTCATCGGTTCTGCACACCGTCGACTCGCGACGAAGCTTGCGTTGGCAGGGATTCGCTCATTTCTTGACCAGCACTTCCTCTCGTCTCACCCTCGAGCGATTCAGTTCGGACTCGATCGAGATGCCACTGTTTGAAGTTCTCGCAAACCGCGTCAGCGCTCCTGCCCCTTCACGCTCGCGGTGATGATGAGGATGTTGCCAACCCCACAGAACTGGTGAGTTTGGATGCAAAGAACGCCTTCAATTCTAAGCCGCTCTCTTCGATGCAATCGAGGGACGTGCGAGTCGTAACTAGTTTGATGGGAGCATCAGCGAAGGTGCAAGCTTGTCATCTTCCGAGCCTCTTCGGTTGTTCGCCTCCTACCTCTCCAGCTACTATGGAGACTCCGCCGCTTTCATAAGGATCAGTCAGCTTCCGTTCAGTGTACCTCGGGCATCTGTCCGACGGTCAGGGCGATGTCCCCTCCATCGTACTCTTCTGCCACAGCATCCACCCACTGCTCCTCCATGAGTCGCAGACCTATTCCCCTCTGTTCGAGTCTTGGCCTACGCTGACAACGTCGTCATTGTAGGGCCACTCGAGGATGCCGTTGCAGCTACGTCCGCTATGAAGAAGTACATGTTGGCCGATCTGCAGCTTGCGATTCAACCTCGCGAGTCGAAAGTTTACATTACCTCCTGGCACCAACACCCTGATCTCTCGCAGCTGAAGAAGAGCCTTAAGCGCCGTCTCAAGACTCAACTTCTTCACTTCGAGGTCGTCACTGGCGGGATTCGGATGGTTTTCATGCTAGTCAGCTCCGAGCGAAGGTCTCCACCCTCAACGAAGAGCTCTCGAAGCTCGAGCCATCTCCAGAAGCTCCGCTTCTTCCTTCAGGGGTCATCTCCGCTTCTCTCGCGAGTCCAGTCACAGATTCGTCGCTTTGACCTCTCTGTCCACCTGGCGCTTGAGAAATACCACCGCTGGCCTTCCTCGCAGTACCTCGCCGCGCACCCCGACCTGCTAGAGTTTGCGAGGTTCAAGCGGGAGCTTCCCCACAGTCGGGGAGGGGACGAGTTCACGCCCTCTGAAGGTATACACCCCGCTGTTTACTATACCGCTATCGCGTGGTACTCTGACCAGCCCATGTCCCGGACCTTGCCCTCTCCTCATAGCCTGGACGTTCACTGCTCGAGATCTCTCCGTGCCGCCGTGCCCAGAAGCATCCTCTGGCGACCTTCTTCGTTGAGGCGCACGACTTTGTTCATAATGCTGGAGCGATTCTCTACCGTCGTAAACTCAGAGGACCGTCGCGTGAGGACTCATGCACCGGCTGCAGATGGCGCGGGGATCCCACCTGACCCGGCTGCTGTGCCTGATGACGCAGGACGCCCCCCCGGCATATGTAGTACACATACCTGGCTTGCGCGCTCTCGTCGACTCGTCTCATGAGCACTTCATTGCTCCACCTGCGCAGCGCAATGTGACTCCTCTTGTCATGCGAGTGTTTCCTCGCCATGTGCATGCTCGCGCTGCCCTCACCGATCAGCAGCGTGATATCCTCACCTTGCACAGCCGAAGGACGTACTCGCTCAAGTCGCAGGATAGGGTCTTGCAGTCTACCATCTTCGCTCATTTTCCTGAGCAGGACCTGAGCCACTCTCCGATGCGAGTCTCGAGCTACTATACCCTCAAGGCCTTCCCGCACCGCTATGCTCAGATGCTCGACTGCTATCTCCATGGCATGCCGATCTGTCAGTGTCCGACGGAATTTGATGGATGTCAGCGCGAGCTCGATCCCTCCGTTGCTGCACATCATCTCCAGACCTGCAAACGCCGATCCTCCAAGCTTCCCACGGCGCATGACAACCTTACTCGTACGATTCGGTCGATGCTCAACGAAGCTGGTCTTCAGAGCGTCATCGATACAGTCGGGGATCCTCGTTCTCGACGCTGTGTGCATGCAGGTTTAGCTTGTTCCTGCTTTGTTTTGCTTGAGGCACTTTTTACCTTCTGCGAGTAAAACTCAACCTCCGACTCCGATGGGGGAAACACTTCGAGCGAAATGAAGCCCCCTTAGACGCGATACCCGGAGGCAGCCGACTGACCACTGTCAGTCGAGACGGCCTGCTCCTCCGCCGCGACCTACGCTGTCCCTCACCTCTGCGAGCGAGCGCCAAAGACAGTTGGCGATTCATCAGTTCAGTGCGGGTGACCTTCATCGGGCGGTACGGGAATAAATCTGCCTCCTCGACGAATGGCTGACAGGGGGTATAAGATTTACTGGCAGGAGGTAAAAAGTGCCTCAAGCAAAACAAAGCAGGAACAAGCTGAACCGGCAGGCACACAGTCCACAGCGAGAAGCTGCACAAACACACACAAAACACAAGCCCGAAAAGAACCAGCACTGCTGGCACCCAGACCCGGCATCGCCAGCCCAAGCGCGAAGCCGCGCAGACAAGCAGCCGAAGGGTCAAGCAAGCAAGCAACAAGCAGCAGGAGCATGCAGGAGGAATAAAATCCCTTACTAGACGCGATACCCGGAGCGGCAGCCGACTGACCACTGTCAGTCGAGACGCCGGTCCGCTGCCGCCACAAAGCGGGCGGCCGCGGACGGAAGCCGGCGCTGCCCGGCCCGGGGGTCCGCCTGGGGCAGCGGACGGAGGGAGGCTGGACACATGAACACGGTACCGCTCGAGGTAGTCCTCCTCGCTAGCCTCGGAGTCAGCGGTAGCCAAGTCAGTGGTAGCCGCCCGTGACGGCGGCGACGCCGCGGCAATGCCCAAGGACCGGCAAGACCAGGGCAGGAATCAGAAGATCCGGCATCCGGCCAAGAAGGACCCCTTGGAGGATATGTTTGCAGTAGAGCTTCAAAGCTGCAGGATGACTGGATTTACTGGCAGAAGGTAGAAAGTGCCTCAAGCAACACAAAGCAGGAACAAGCTAAACCGGCGTGCTGATCGCCTGGATCAGGCTAGTGGTGTCGAGAATGTCAATGCAGTACTGCAAGCGCTTGCTGAGTGAGATGAGCCGCGGAAGCACTTCCAAAGGCAGGCGACGCACCAGCAGGGAACTTCTCTTGTGCTTCAGCAAGAAGATCAGCGAAAGAAGTAAGATTTACTGGCAGAAGGTAAAAAGTGCCTCAAGCAAAACAAAGCAGGAACAAGCTAAACCGGCGTGCACACAGTTCACAGCGAGAAGCGGCACAAACACACACAAAACACAAGCCCGAAAAGAACCAGCACTGCTGGCAACCGTCAGCAGACGGACCCGGCATTGCCAGAGCATGCAGGAGGAATAAAATCCCTCAGACGCGATACCCGGAAGCAGCCGACTGACCACTGTCAGTCGAGACGTCCGCTGCCGCCACAAAGCTGGCGGCCGCGGACGGAGAAAGGGCAGCCGCCGACAAGGAGCTTCTGCCAGTAAATCCTATGAGGAGCCGGCGTTGCCCGGGGGTCCGCCTGGGGCAGCGGACGGAGGGAGGCTGGACACAGGAACACGGTACCGCTCGAGGTAGTCCTCCTCGCTAGCCTCTGAGTCAGCAGAAGCCGAAACCAACACCGCCCGTGACGGCGGCGACGCCGCGGCCGAAAGATTCAGCCTTGTAGATGCCGGAGCTCAGTAGTGTCCCTCTCCAAGGGAGCTGATAAACCTGGTCTCCGGCCAATTGTCATCGGTTCCGCACACCGTCGACTCGCGACGAAGCTTGCTTTGGCAGGGATTCGCTCATTTCTTGACCAGCACTTCCTCTCGTCTCACCCTCGAGCGATTCAGTTCGGACTCGATCGAGACGGCTCAAGCAATCAAGCAACAAGCAGCAGGAGCATGCAGGAGGAATAAAATCCCTTAGACGCAATACCCGGTTGTTGCTTGATTGCTTGACCCTTCGGCTGCTTGTCTGCGCGGCTTCGCGCTTGGGCTGGCGATGCCGGGTCTGCTGACGGTTGCCAGCAGTGCTGGTTGTTTTCGGGCTTGTGTTTTGTATGTGTGCTTTGTTTTGCTTGAGGCACTTTTTACCTTCTGCCAGTAAATCCTATCTCTCTTGTTTGTGCAGCTTCTCGCTGTGAACTGTGTGCACGCCGGTTTAGCTTGTTCCTGCTTTGTTTTGCTTGAGGCACTTTTTACCTTCTGCCAGTAAATCCTATCTCCCGGTGGTCCACCCTTACATTGGTAGCTCTGCCGACCTGACCAAATGGGGGGAGGTCAAGCGTCTGAGAAGATTCGCAAACATCGCGCTGCATATGCCATGACTACTCCTCCTCGAGCGTTCATCCCTCTTGCCATCTCGACGGACGGTACCCTTGTTTGTGCAGCTTCTCGCTGTGAACTGTGTGTACGCCGGTTCAGCTTGTTCCTGCTCAGCTTTGTTTTGCTTGAGGCACTTTTTACCTTCTGCCAGTAAATCCTATAGACTTAGGGTGGTCCTTCCTGAACCAAGGAAGTTCTCGGAGCTGGTGAGGCGTCTCCCACGGTCCCTCACTGTGACGTCGGGTGCCCGGTCCGGAGAGCCTCTCGACAACACTGGGCCGGGGGTGCTTGCTGCCAGGCTGGTCCGAGCTCGCCTGCTTCCTCCCCGGCATCGGTCGGGTCACGCCGGTCCTTGGGCATTGCCGCGGCGTCGCCGCCGTCACGGGCGGCTACCGCTGACTCGGCTACCGCTGACTCGGAGGCTAGCGAGGAGGACTACCTCGAGCGGTACCGTGTTCATGTGTCCAGCCTCCCTCCGTCCGCTGCCCCAGGCGGACCCCCGGGCAGCGCCGGCTCCTTGTCGGCGGCTGCCCTTTCTCCGTCCGCGGCCGACCGCTTTGTGGCGGCAGCGGACGTCTCGACTGACAGTGGTCAGTCGGCTGCCTCCGGGTATCGCGTCTGAGGGATTTTATTCCTCCTGCATGCTCCTGCTGCTTGTTGCTTGCTTGCTTGACCCTTCGGCTGCTTGCCTGCGCGGCTTCGCGCTTGGGCTGGCGATGCCGCGTCTGAGTGCCAGCAGTGCTGGTTGTTTTCGGGCTTGTGTTTTGTGTGTGATTGTGCAGCTTCTCGCTGTGCGCTGTGTGCCAGGAGG